AAGACCTGGTCCTGAAAGCCAAGACCCGAGAACTAACGTTAGGGTTTTAGTGCCTAAGTGCAGAGTTTCGGATCCAAGCGTTGATACCTAGTTATATTTTGAAAAACGTTTTCCGGTAATTTAAGCATTGGTAGGAAAATCTTTTCCGTTAACTTGGAAAACATTTTCCATTGACTCAATTTTCTAAGTGAACCAAATGCCGGAAAATAAGAAAAATATTTTTCCAAAAAATATTTTCCGTAAAACAAACGGATCCTAAATTTAATATGTCACGCCCGGAACCCCATCGAGCTCGCGACATCCCACTCCGGTCGAATAGTTGCGACGTCCCAGGAACATCGCCGACCCAACCCAAACATCAGAGACACATGCGGAAGGAATACAAAACCCCTGACTATAAAGATGACGATGGGGTAGATCAAAAGGACAATCAAGGGACATCAACAATCATCTTTATACAATACCATTGCACCAAGTATACAAACATCGTATTACAAACATATTTAGCAAACTAGCATCCGAGACCACTGACATAACAAAAGGATCAGGTGGTTTGGTTAACCTAGCTTCACTATAGGTCGACCTAACTATAAAAAGGTGACTGGTCAGACCTATTCTATACAACCCCTAAAATACCCAAGGGAAACTTAATGGTCGCCCTCCTTCACTTTGCTTCAGCGTCCTCTGGATCGAGCCCCCGGAAGATTACTTGGACCACGATACGGGAGATCGCCTGCAGCTCCACTGGGGCACCATGGTCAGCTCTTCATACTCCAAAAACGGGGAGGCGGACCTCCAGGGTTTAAGGCTGGTGGTCTGAAATTGTGGTTATACAACTATGAGACGAATCTCAATAAGTGCACAACCCCAAACCCCACATAGCCTCTCACGTATCGCCAGACGAAACACGCATAACACACAACGATCAAACATGCTAACAAACACATACGATCCTACCTGGAATCCATCATGCACATCCCTGCACGTTAGATAATAATACAACCCACATTCCATAGTAATGCATCACAGTCGCGCGCGTGCCTCGATTATAAGGCAGAACCCGCTTGGGCACGTCCCATACCATGCCTAGTAGTTTTTACCTCATAATCGAGCACCACAATATGCGATACCAACCACACTAGCACACGAACTCACGCCATGTGCCAATTTTCGCAATCCTCTCACGTCAAGCCAAGTCCAGCTGATACCCAACTTTTCCACCACACCGCGCCTGCGTAAAACGCATCAAGTCAATGGTCTTCTGACCTCGTCAGGCATCGTCACCCTGTCGGGCCGGGCATCGTCACCTCGTCAGGGACGGCATCGTCCCGCGTAAACGAACACGCCTCAGGACGGATCCTACATTCTCAACTTTCCTTCTCTACCGCGCCCGCGTAAAACGCATCAGGCTAACAGTCTTCTAACCTCATCAGGCATCGTCACCCCGTCGGGCCGGGCATCGTCACCTCGTCAGGGACGGCATCGTCCCGCGTAAACGAACACACCTCAGGACGGAACCTTTCCAACCAATCCTACATTCCCGTACCTTCGTTCCACACATTCCACACGTTCCAACCAATCCTACATTCCCGTACCTTCGTTCCACACATTCCACACGTACCACACATACACCATGTCCACACCCAATCTCACGCCACACATACACACAGCCACACACACACAATCTCACACTCCACACACACTTCGCAAATGCACATCTTCGTCACACGAGCGCACCACACAACCACACACAATTAGCACGCGACCTCAATGCGCGATCACATCACCACACCTCACGGCCACACATATTCAGCCCAAAACACATTTCCAAATCAGCCAATAATCACAAGTCACCCAATCATTCAAACAAACCCATTCAAGCCATATAACTACCAATCAATCACACAATTCAGCCAAGATTATTTCACATCGCCTCAGCCCTATCCGAGCCTACCAAACCACACCTTTTTCAGTCCTCAAATCAGCCCACAACAACCAAGCAACCAGCCCTCATCTCAGCCCCAAAACAGCCACCTAAACTACTCGAACCAAGCCTTAAACATATCTAACAATACCCGAGGTCCTAAGTAACGTTTGGGGAAGTCACTTACCTCGAAAAGGCGTGACAAGTTGGTTGGACAGAGGTTGGAATGAACGGCCCAGCAGCAGCAGCAGCGGCGGCGCCGGCGGCCAAGCAGGCGAGCGGCTGCACCACCGTGGACGGGTGGCTGGCGGGCGGCGATCGGGCGGCTGGGGGTGGCGATCTGGTCGTATGGACCAGGGGAGGATGGCCAGGGGTGGCTCGGTGGTGACGGGGCCGAACGGAACAGCGAAACAGAGAGAGAAAGACAGGCGGACGGTGATGATGCACGGCCGGGAAAGAGGAGGAGCGGCGGCGGTGACCGGCGGGAGGGCAGCGACCAGGCGGCGGCGAGCTGGTGGCCGGCCAAGGTGGCTTCACGCACGGGGAGGGAGAGAGAGGGAGAGCCGATCGGTGGAGGGGGTGAGGAGAGAGAGAGAGAGAGGGAGAGAATTGAATTATTGGAGAGAGAGAGAGAAAATGATATTTAAAGGGTACCCCCAATAATTAATCTCAAAACCCCACCGGAAATTACTAAAATACCCCCTATCTACCCCTCCGATCCAATGGCCAAGAATTGATCTTTTCCAAATCCGACGGCCCACGATTGTCCTTATCCAATAATTCAAGGGCAAAAGAGTAATTGACCATAAAGGGAGAGGGGCATTCTTGTCCTCTTATTTTCGGCCACACAGGGTTATTCTCAGTCCCCCGACTTAATCCAGTCCTCAAAATTCGTTCGCGGTCCCAGGGGCAAAACGGTCATTTTTCCTGTCCCGAATCGAAATCCATTTTTTTACAGAAATGGGTAGCCCCAAGGTTGGCCACACCAAAAACGCCATCGGCCGCTAAAAATTGTCACTTTCAAAATTCTCGATTCCCGGGCCCGAATTCCAAGAAATGACCAGAATCGATCAATCGCGACTTTAGCTTATCTCTTGCTAACGGGTGGCTCTTTGGGATTACGGGCTCTCGACCCGTGACCGACACTGAGTCAAATCACGTTTACGTTTGCTCAAACCAAGGCGACTTCGATTGTCATGTAATTGCGAGGGTCTGTTGCTAGTTCCCTTCGGACACGATCAATCAAATAGATCGCTCTCTGTTGGCCCAAAACATTCCTTCGTCAATCCTTATGGTCGAAGGTCGAACCAAGGTCAAGTTCTTGGGTCGTGCGAACTCAATCCCCTAATGGCCTTACCCCTAAGGTTAGCATCCCGAGAATGCGCGGTTCCGGGTGAGATCTCACTATAAGTGCATTGGCCAAAATATTCATTTCAGAAATCCCGGGAAAAGGATTGAAAATTCAGAATGTTACATAATATATGAATATGCTATCCCATTCGGTGTTACCATCTCGGCTTGCTCACAAGATCGTGTCACCTAACATCGCACTTACTAAAATTATACTCTGTTTAGTCATCTAATGATGTGGATCGACATTGAGGATTCTGCACTCCACACAAAATAATCAACGCCTCACCAATAAGGTCAATGCTCAAATGATGAGTAACGTCAATTATTACTAATCTGATTTTTCATCTATTTCTACAAATCTTGGCGATACTGTCTAGTCAAGACCTCGTCACTCAATCACTATCGCATTATCCTCTGTCAAACTTGTAATCAATTAATCCATCTCATTGTCGGACAGTCGATCACCCATCTCCACCAACCATTCTACTCCGACTCTTTTAACAATTTGGTGAACACACCAACTCGTGGATTTTTTTAGGGCTCAATAGCTTCTGAATAAAGACAAATATTCAATTTTTTAATTTATCATTGCATTCTTTAAATTTGCTTTTTATCTTTTTGCCTATGGTCACGTCAGTGATATCTAGTTAAAATTCTCCAAAAGAACAACATTGGCGAATTGACAAAAGGTGTTAGGACTATATGGGCTAAATTGAAAAGTTAACAACTAGATACAATAATTTTATGATTTTTTGGACTATTTTTTCCAAGTTAATGCCATGTTCCCACGTATGAATTCTGGATGTGGTTAGTAACGAATGTATGGAAAGAGGAACATTCTACCTAACTATCATTAATTAGTGGCTTCTCAATGTAATTGATGAGTTTAAAGTACCATCACTCAAAATAGACCGAGCTAATAGAGGGACTTGATGGCACCATTTTGACAAGTTTTATAACTTAATTTGCATTATTTGAAAGTTTATTAAGACTCCTGATAACTTAGAGTATCGACTACATGGACGTGTATGAATTCGAGCATTTGTCGCTGGGCAAGCTAATGCTAAGTCTGTCGACAGGGCTGGATTATGACTAGACCGACTTCGGATGGCGACAGACAAGGCAGTTCGGCATCGGTGAACTGCTGTGAGTAGGTTCTGTGTTTTTGGCTGACGGGAACGACAGGAAGGGCATTGTGGTGGTGTAAGGTTTTGCCAGTTTCAGCCATGAGTTGGTCCAAATGTAAATTCACAAGCCATGGATGGCTTCAAGAGAGGTTGCTTAATGGTACATCCATATTCATTGTTGGATATCAAATTGATGAAATACGCTTTCTTTTCTTATTTAAAGCTCCGACCCGCTTTTTTTTTTTATATAGATACAAAGTTATACCAACCCTTTGTTAGACTGCAATTACTATTCTCTCTTTTGGTAAACTATACCTATCAAATTACTTTTTTTGGTTGGGTGGACTAAAATGCCAGGCGCACATGTTATACCCAACAAACAGTATTGAATAAGAATAAAAAAATCCTAGACCAAAAACTGGTGCTCCATTTGCACATTCCTTGCAAATAAATTAAGCAAATAAATTACTCAAAAGCAATCTTCGACGCAACTATTTCATGCCAAATGCCAGAACTCGAGAAGCCACAATCTGCGAAGAGAAGCCAAATCCAAGTGTTTCGTCTCTAGCATCTCCAGTTCTTAGAGGTATGTCATCAGAGTTTGAGTCGTATTTGCATTGCATTTGGCCAAGAAAAGGCAAAACATTTCTATCACCAAAGCTCGTGTATGATCTATCTTTGTGCTCTGTAAGTAGGATTCGTTCGGCAAGTATGGCCTGTTAGAATATTTAATAAATTACGCCTTCTAGAACAGTTGGTCCTTGTTTGCTGCCCTTATTATATAATTCCGCGCTCAATCTTAGGCCAAATCCAGCCTAGGCGTGAGGATTTGCATTGCAATATGTATATTTGACAACGCATGTTGTGTAGGAATATGCCCTACATGGATTGTCAAGTACGGGTTCATACTCCGCGAAACAATTTAAACTTTTGAATTGCTTTTTTCTATCATGGAACCAGATTGAAGTTTCAGTCTCCGTACCCCATTTTGAAATTCAATCTGGCTTGTGAATATGTTCTTACTCATATTTTTCCTATTCCTCAAATCATGGTTGAATCTGTGTGCCTAGTTGCAAGACATACATCGGTTTTATTTACATATGTCCTGTCTCTATGTAACAACTTTGTTTGTACTTCTCAGTGCATTTTTTTTTCTCAACAAAGAGAGCGGGATATAAAGTTCCAGACTTTTCCTATGGAGGCAACCGCCAAGAACAACGTCCTCATAATCAAAAGATCTAGTCCCATTGTGGTCCAACCAGAATTCGAAACACCCAAGGGTTCCATTTTCTTAAGTAGCCTCGATCAAGTGGCTGTCGTATACGTGTCGTCCGTTTATTGTTTCGACAGGAGCGACGCAAATGTGGTAGACGTGATTAAGCAAGCTTTGGCCAAAGTTCTGGTTCATTACTATCCAGTTGCAGGGAGATTAGCTAAGAACTCTCAAGGGAAGTTGGTTGTTGATTGCCAAAACAAGCTGGGAGTCCCATTTGTGGAGGCAATGGCTGATTGTGACATAAAAAATATGGGTGATATGAGAATTCTCGATGCTGATGTTTTAGGTAAGCTTGTTTATAAAGAGCCTACGGAAGATAAACTTGAAGTTGCCCCCCTTCTAACTGCACAGGTAAGGAACAATTTTTTTTTTGTGTTGTTTATTTCTGGTGATGCTTGAAAGTGCTTTTCTAATTTATGCGTCTATATATCATGAAAACACAGCCACTTCTTCATTGGTAACTTTTTCAAAGCCATAGACTAAAAAGTAACTTTCTCAATTCAATGATAAACTTTCAAATGCAAGATAAACTGATAATTATACACACAACTTAGTAACTTTTCCTAATTGGTTAGTAACTTGTCTTGCTAACGTCCCAATAAGGAATGATTCTTCGATCCACCATGTGTCAGGTGATTCAATACTGCTGAATAAAATGTGTTAACTATCGGCAAATCTTTCGCTTTTTTAAGGAAAAAATCAAGATAATATGGCATGGATAAAGTACATCCACCATGAATCCTTTTGCACCATTGAATCCTGTGGCTCCCATGAAATGTAGGACTTCATATGGACATAAAGTGTATATACCCAATCCATGCAATAACATTTTCCAGATATCTACTTGTTCTGCTTTTTTATGTTGAAATACTATTAACTCTGAAGACAAATCACAGGTGACCAGATTTAAATGTGGAGGTTTCACTCTAGGGATTGTAATTAACCATTGCCTGATAGATGGTATATCGGCAATGAATTTTATGAACGCATGGGCTGAAATAGCAAGAGGCAAGCCTTTGTCCCTCGTCCCTTGTCATGATAGAACTATCCTAAATGCAAGGGAACCTCCTCAAATCACCGGTCCTTACGACGACTTTGTTCAGATAAGTGATGTATCAAATATGAAGGCATTATATGAGGAACAACAATTGGTATATAAATCCTTCCACTTTGATGATGAGAAGCTGGCAACCCTAAAAAGAATGGCAACAAAAGATGAACAGGTAAATTTCTATCTTATGATAATGGATAGGCGGCAATTCACAGACATCTTTGTATAATATACATGTCAACTCACAATTAGTTCCAAAAAAAATTGCAAATACACCCAACACTATATCAAGATAAAGTTTCAATCGAGTTTATTGCACTGAAACTTTTAAATAATGAGTGCAACTAAAAGTATACGTCAATCAGATCTTTTCTTCCCTAAATTTAGTTTTGATTGTTCAATATATATAGAATACAGCGACCCAGAAAATATGATATGGACCACATTTTGACTTCAACTGTCATGTTAGCTGTAGATATATGAATCTACTGAGACATATGCATATGACTTGCATTTAGAGCTCTCAAGTAAGCCTTATGTGAATATTTGATCACCAAAAATGGAATTATTCATCTTGTGCAACAGGTAACGAGCAGATGCAGCAGCTTCGTAGCACTTGCAGCCTTTGTGTGGCGGGCTCGAAGCATGGCCCTCAAGATGAAACTTCACCAACAAACAAAGCTTCTTTTTCCGGTTGACTTCAGATCTAGGCTAAGGACACCATTGCCCAACGGATTCTTTGGGAACGCTGTGGCTATGCCTTGCTGTCTCTGCACCATGGGAGATTTGATTGAGGAGCCAATCTCTGCTTCTGCGGGAAGAATAAAGAAGGCGATCGAGAGTGTGACTGACGACTTCATACAATCCAAGATTGACTTTTTGGACACGTATCGATTTGAGGGATTCCCTATGGGCACACTTGTCATAAATTCATGGACGAGGCTCGAGCATGGCAGCACGGATTTTGGGTGGGGAGAGCCGCGGTTCGGGACCGGGGACGTATCGAGCTTAACCTGCTTGTTTATGGCAAAAGGGAGAGAGAAGGGCATTGCGATGGCGTTGGGTTTGCCACTTTCAGCCATGGATACCTTCGATAAGCTTGTTTGTGATTTAAATGATGCTTAGTATACTAAGACTGGCATTCAAAATCACTTTACGAAATGTTACCAACTAGTGGATCGCCATATTCAACGTCTGAATGGACTCCATTGTATCACTTAATAAATAATTTTTAAGAGTTTAGTCTTGAATACTTAGGATAATCTGTTGGATTTCTGAATATATCTTGTGTCTTCTCATGTTTTCAATTTTCATTATCCAAGACCGATTTAATAAAACATTATCTTTTCTGCTTGTCGCGAAGCTTCAAATTCCTTTCATTACTACTTTTTGAAGGTGATATTCACCCCTTCATGGTGCCGATCATAGTTGGACGTTGGCTTAGACACTTCTCTTTCCTATCTTTTTTTTTTTAAAACTCAATTGCACTTTTTATAAGTATTATGACTCAATTGCATTTTCATGACAAGTTTTAGGACTTTTAGTATACTTATCCCTTGAAATAAATTTTTTTAATAAAATACATATAATTAAGACATATTTACCAACTCTATTTATAGATGAGATGTGCAGATAGTTTTGTCAATTTGGCAAACAAAAATTACCTTCTAATTAAAAAAGGGAAATAAAGAATATTACATGCTTTTAGTTTATTAAAGAGGCATTATCTTCCTATGGGCTCAACCTTTTGTCTCTTGCGCGATTTGAACAAAATGTAATAAATTTTTCTCCTCATCATGTTAATATGAAAATATATCAAATGAATGAGGAGAAATATCTGCGTAAAAAAAATTATTAAGCATTTATGAAAGTTAAGATATAAGGGGAAAAAAAAACATACCCACTGCAAAAAGCAAGTATGCAATAGTGTGTGTGGATAAACATATCACAAGGTTAAGTCACATGGCACGGTTACATGCGAGCTTTATCCGCTGATTTGTTCTTGATGGTCACTCTAGCAAACTCTAACTCCATCAAATCTCTAAATCCGCATAGCATATATAAAACTGCGTAAAGCTTAGCATGGTTTACTCAAGTGACACGCTCACATGCGAGCTTTATCCAGTAACTTATTTTTTATGATCCCTTTGGCAAGCCTCTAATTCTAGAACTCTAATTCTTATGCATAGTTTACCTCTAATCCCACATCTCTAATTATAGGCATATTTTTGTAATAAGTTTCCGGTCGATATATTTTCATATATTCTTATGCATGACGCTTTAATTTGATTATGTACTATTAATTTTTATACATACTTTTGTTACAAAAATTTCAATCCATATATTTTCATATATTATGCATATTTCTCCAATATAATTATGCACATTTTGGTAATGTATATATAAAAAAAAAACAAAAGGATTAGTCAAATATTGGTTTGTCTTATCAAAGGCAAGTTGTTATTTTTCTCCCCAAGCAAATTCTTTTTAAAGTTTTAATCTAAGTATAGAAGAAAACACTTCTATTTTACCAGATAAATTGACAATGAAACAACGTAAAAAAATTATTTTTCCAAATTGACAACCACATCATCAATATCCACCTCCATAAAGTCGCCCATCATTTCATGGAACATAAAATTCATCGCCATTTCATAAGTTGCTCCAACAGTTTTTAATCCGAACAGCATTATCGCCATTTCAAATGTACAATAACTCATGGACGCCTGAATGCTGTTTTAGACACGTCCTCTTCAGCTCTAAATATCTGGTTGCACCTGCATGCCCATACACAAGCAATAGAGCTTCATTTCTCAAGGCTAAGTCGATTAACATATCAACAATCGGCATTGTATAATCATCCTTTGGTGTTACCCCATAGAGTTATTTAAAGTCAATTCATACTCATCTTCCCATTTTTCTTTTTAACTGGGACAATGTTGACAGCCATTTAACATATGAAGCTATCCTTAAGAATCCTGCTTTAATTAGTCGTTCGATTTCTTCTTTTACTTTCATAACTACCTCTGAAGCAAATCGCCTTCAAGGCCGATCCCTTTTTATTCTGCAACGTATGCTCTACCACATCTCTCTCTAGACCTGACATCTCATGAGAATTCCATGCAAGACAATCCCTATGTTTTTTTAGCAAATCGACTAACTCATTCTTGAATTCTTCCTCCAACAAAACACTGACGTAAGTTGGCCGATTTTGATATTCATCACCGATTTTATAAATCAGTCTTAGTGCACCTTATTACTTCCTCTTATAATTGATTATGGTGAATGGGATGATCAGTGTGAATTTCAATATGTTTTTGTTTTTCATTTGTTGTCCTTATCATTGTTCAAGATCAATTTGATCAAACGTGATTTCACTTGTGTAATGGTTCAATTTCCTTTTCTATTACAAAGAAAAATTAATGGAACCAACTACAATTTTGTGCGTTCTAATTTAGGTTAACGTTCATCTGCAATCAGGCAATGAGGCAACTGCTACAGGTCAAATTGTTGTAGATTGAAGGGATAATGACAAAAATGGCAAAAAGACACTATAAGTACCATAAGTTGTGTACGGAGATCACTTTGGTGCCATAACTTTTTTTCGGATCATTTTGGTGTCAACTTTTTTGAAAAACGATCACTTTAGTGCCAATGCTGACATGGCCACCGGAAAATCTGACGTGGCTCTTTTTTTATTAATTTCTGATGCTGACATGGCTCGCCGGAAATCTGACGTGGCTATTTTTTTGCCGGAATTTTGGCCGGAGTCACTAAAGTGATCTCTTTTCCTCCGACTTGGCACCAAAGTGATCCGAAAAAAAGTTATGGCACCAAAGTGATCTCCGTACACAACTTATGGCACTTATAGTGTCCTTTTGCCTGACAAAAATGGTCATTGAACTTTGGCCAAATATCTAATATGGACCGTGAACTTTTAATTTGTTCAATGTGTTCCTCGAACTTTAGCCCAATGTGTAATGTAATCCCTGAACTTTTGATACATGTTCAAACTAGTCCCTGAACTATATGAAATTGTTCAATATTGTGACATCCCGAATTTCGGCCCATTTTTGGGATTTATAAAACGCGTAATTTGTCAGTGTGCTTATAGTAAAATCTCGCCTGGGAACTGATCACTCCCGGTTATCATTTTAAATTAGAGATTTCGCTAGAATCGCACTCGATCAAATTTGGCCGTTATTTGGATTCCGAACTTGGCAGTCGATTTCCGGGAGTTTCGGGATAAAATAAATTGGACGGTGTCGATATTGTTGTGACCAGCGTTGAGATTGTCAGGAATGATGGAAAAATGGGAGTTTTTGACCACGTGCGAATTTGGACTAGTAGACCTCCCTCGTTATGATTTGGTCTAATTAATTTGGCCTTTGTCCCTTTTTATGTGCGAGACTTATTTTGGACCCGTAGACCACTTTCGGTTTTTAATTTGGGCCATCGGATCGCGATTAATATTTGAATGTTCAAATATTTTCTTTTATTCTCTCTCTCTCTCTCTCTCTCTCTCTCTCTCTCCTCTGCCGCGCATGTCCTCTCCGCGCACGTCTCCCCCTGCCCACGTCCCCTCAGCTCACCCACTCCCACCTGCTCTCTCTCTCTCTTCGTTTCTTTTCCTTCTTTCTTTTTCTTTTCTTCTTTCTTTCTCTTCTTCTTCTTCCTTCTTCCTTCCCCGAACTCGCCTGGTTCTGCTTCGTTCCTGCTCTGCTCGCCGGCTGCTGCTCGATCACCTATCCAGCTCCGCCTGACGCCGCCCAAGCAACCACCGACGCCGCCGTCCTCCTCGCACCGTCGTCGCGCCGCCGCGCCGCACGGCAGCTCCGCCCGACGCTGCCTTCCTCCTCTCCCGAGCGCGCGAGCTCGGCTCGCCGCCGCATCCGGCGAGTCCCAGCCGTCGTTTAGTCGTCCGGCCAGCCCCCCAGAACCGCCCTGACACCTAGACGTCGCCGCCATCGTCCCGGCCGTCGCCTTGCTGCCCCGTCACCACCGATTCGTCCCCCCCCCCCTTTCTCAGCGCCGTGCGTCTTCGCCGGAGCGCCGTCGCCGTCTCTGGTGCCGCCGCCGTGAGCCGCCGTTCCTCTCACCTCAGCCGGTCAGCCCCCTCTCCCTTCCAACCCGTGAGCCCCCTTCCCCCTCTCTTCCTCTTTGTTTTGGCCGTGGAAGGCCCTTCGCCGGAGGAGCTCCGCCGCCGCCGTCACTATTCCGGCGCGGATCCGTCGCCTCGCCCGGCCGTCCAGCCGTTCCATTTCTCTCTCTATCTCTGACCGTGCCCCTCTCTCTCCCTCTCTAGGCCGTGGATTAGCTTAGACCGTCGCCGTCGCTCGCGCTGCGTTCGCCGGAGCCGCCGCCGCCGTTACTGTTCCGGCGAGGGACCGCCGCTGTCCAGCCGCCATTACCACGTGTTCAGCTCGGTTTGAAGCTTAGGACACCCGGTGAGTTTGACCCTAAACCCTAATTAGGATAATTTGCATTTCTAAATGGGTTTTAGGGGTTAATTAGGGTATTATAGGGGTTAAATTGTGGAAATTGTTAGAGGCTGGTTTCGAGGCTTAGTGTGATGATTTAATTGAGATTTAGAGGCCCGTATTGTGCTGTGAGTCGGCTGGACATAGGCGCCTTAATTTGGGCGAAAATGTGAATTTGGCGGGTGCAAATTCAGGACCGAGTAGAGGCCGCTAGGGGCTGATTTTTGTGGCCCGTTTGGTGACCGAGAATGATGATTTAATTGAGGTTTAGTGGACTATAGTGTGCTGTGATGTGGCGAGGCATAGGTGCCGTGATTTGGACGGAATTGTGGATTTAGCGGGTGAAATCGGGAGACCGAATGGTGGCTGTCTTGGTGGCTATTTTACGGGCTTAGTGCGACAATTTAGTTGAGATTTAGTGACCCGCGAGGTGCCGTGAGATGGCTGGACAGATTGGTACGGAGCGGTCCAAGTTTGGAGTAAGTTCGGACTTTAAATATGGATTTTAGTGCGCGCCTCATTTGATCTTTGTGGTGGCTGATTAGAATAATGGTTTGGGGAGTTTAATGGGACATTTTGAAGATATTTATTGGCCTAGACATTGCGGTATAGTGGCTGGTCACGACAGGATTTGATTTAGGCGGGGCGTGATCAATTTGAAGTTTAATTGTGCAATTACCGGGAATGATCGCATTGATCAATTGACTGGCTAAATGAGCCTTGTTGTGATTGATTTTAGGATGCCATGTTGCTTGTTTAGCGGGACTAAGAATGGAATAGCTCGGCGGGCCTCGAATGCGAGGATTCTTGTTATCCCGGTTGTGTGGATTGTGCATGGATTGTGTGTCAAGTTGATGTCATGGCTGATTTGAATTGATTGTCTGATTGGGCATGTTGATTTATGAAATTGAATATGCGTGTTGCAAATGCGCATGATTGCATCGTGATTTGAGTAAGTGGTGCGGTGCAAGTGAATGCCCATATGTGAACGTTATAGCCATGAGTTTGCATCACGAGCATTGGCACGGCATGTGCATTTACAAGTGTGCTCGAGTGACATGTGCATTGTGATCACTTAAAATGCCCTGATGCGTTTAACGCGGGGTTCAGATGAAAATTGGTGCTTGTGAAAGTGTGATCATAATAAACCCTGATGCGTTTTACGCGGGGTAGTGAACCCGTCCTGAGGCGTTTAACGCGGGACGATGCCCGGATTGCCGGAAGACGGCCAACCTGATGCGTTTACGCGGGTTCGGTCCGTATATGGAGATCGGTGTTGCGCCTGATGCGTTTACGCGGGCTAGAGACACTGGGCCTGATGCGTTTACGCGGGCCAGGAAGTGTTGGATAGTGATAGACCTGATGCGTTTTACGCGGGTCGGACCTGATGCGTTTAACGCGGGTCGGAGGAGAAATTGATAAATGGCAAGTATGCTAGAGTGCAAGCGTGCGAAAATGCATTGATGAGGCGTGAGCACGCGTATGAGCACGAGCATAAGCATGACATGCGTTGTGACCAAATGATGTGTACATGTGCTGCGACTGGATCCTATGTTTTATGCTTGAATTGTAAGTGCCTAACCTGCAGGGCAATGTGAGTGTTGGATTTGGGCCCGAGGGCCTAAGTCAATTATGATTTGCTTGGAGTGTTGATTTAGTACTCGTCAGGAGGTGCACTTTAGCCTAATTTAGGTTTAGGGAATTACTCGCTGAGATTTATTCTCACTGTTGTTGAAACCCAATTTTTCAGACCCCCAGCCCTGAGGATGGCAGGTGTATTGAAACGTTTTGGGAGGAGCCCCGGCTAGATATAGTGGTTGATCGCCGAGCCACGTACCCCGCTTTTGATTTTTGAGTGTGGGCTGTTTATGAATATTGTATATGTTTCCCGATGTCAAAACAAGTGTATATTTATCCGTGCTGGTTGTTGTATGGCTATCCTGGATTATGTGTATTTTATTGTACGGGTGATTTTAATTACTTCCGCATGTGCTTTATATCTCTGTGTTGGGTGTTGGGTCGGCGACGCGTCCTGGGACGTCGCACACGAATTGACCTTTACGAGGGATGTTGCGCGCCGAGGAGTGCGGGGCGTGACAAATATTGTCCCTAAACTTAAATTAACAAAAGGACAATATTGAACATTTTCATAAAATTGAACATGCATCAAAAGTTGAGGGACTACATTGAACAAATTAAAAAGTTTACCCCACTGCACATTGGGCTAAAGTTTAGGGACCACATTATACAAATTGAAAGTTCAGATACTATATTGCACATTGAGCCAAAGTTTAGGGATCATTTGAGTCATTTTTTCTAGATTGAAAGGCCATTCAATCGCAATTTTAGTCCACAAAGTCTCTCTCAGCTATTAAAGAGTGAAATAGAAAAGGTTTTGGGTGAAGCCAAATCTCAATCTTAGTTAAGTCAGCTTCCTGACGTAGTAAGAAGAATTTGTTGTAAATCATGTCAGCACATTCGAATTAAATGCTAACCTCGACGCCGTATCAATTGCACCACGGAGCCAATTGCATATCATAGACACCCGGGAGGGTCCATATATAAGTGGTATCCTGAATCGCATGTCCTATGTGGTAACTAGGGTGCTCGATTGCTAGCGACCACTATGATGGGTCTTTGCCCCATATACTAGGTTTGACTTCTCCTAAGGGTGTATTTATTTCATGGAAGATGAATAATTTATAAAATATTTTCTTAAAAATGATCGTTTGTATCTCTTACAAAATAAATAAATGAAAAATATTTTACAAAATCATTTTCCAGATTATTTATTTTTCGCAAAACAGACAGAGCCTAAAATTAAGACGTGAATCCGCCATCCCATTCGACATTACCATCTCTTAACTCGCTCCCAAGCTTTTAACAAAACTTTCCACACAAATGACCTTTTACACCATATTATACTCTTTCTTTCATCTATGGATGTCTATCAGACATTGAAGAGTCTGCTCTCTGAAAAAAATATCCAATGCCTCAACGATAAGGTCATTGCTCACATTATTGAAATAAGATATCAAAAAGCAAAAAATCTACTCATGGATACTCCACTTGACGCGTAATTTTATGCTGATTTTTCAATTATTTCCGTAAGTCATAAACGAAACTATCATGACCTTGTCACTCAATCACTGTCGCATTATCCTCTGTCGAACTTGTAGTCAGTCGGTCCATCTCTTTGTTAGACAATCTATCACCCCATCGACCACCCGTTTTGCTCCGACTCTCCTAACGATTTGGTAATCACTCGAACTCGCGGGATTATTTTAGGGGCTCAACAGCTTCTGAGTAAAGACAAATTTTCCAATTCGTTTTAAACTTATTCTTACACTCTTCGAATTGCTTTTCTTTTTTCCAATTATGCACGGGCTTTTGACATTATGAAGGTGTAATCCTGATTGGTTCGGTCGACAACACTTTTCAGATTGCCATTTTTCCAATCCTGATCAGTTTGGTCGACTACACTTTTAGAGTTGCAATCATTTTACGCGTAATAATGAATGCTAGGGGGTGCATGACACTACGAATCCACTAACACGATTGGCGAAACGGCAACGTGAAGCTAGGTCAAGATAATCCACCCGCCTGGAGTAGATTGTGGAGGTGTTGGGTTTGAAAAAAATGCTCCCAAGTTGGAGATCATATCAATGACATCCGATTGCTTTTCTTCTTTGAAGCTCCAACCCTGTTTTTTTTAATCGTTAATACAAAGTTATACCAACCCTTTGCTAGGCTACAATTTCTTTATATTATAGTCAACTTTTATCTAATTTTTTTAGGGACTAATGCCTGGTGCGCACGTTAGACCAAACAAAAAAGTATCGATTAAAGTATTATTGTTGGCGCACATTCCTTCCAAATAACTAAACAAATAAATTACTCAAAAAGGAATCTGCGATGAAACTATTTCATGCTTAATGCCGGAACTCGAGAAGCCACAACCAAAAAATCTGGACCTGCGAAGAGAAGCCAAATCCAGGTGTTTCATCTCTAGTATCACCGGTTCTAAGAGGTATGTGGGTTTTCGTATGAGTTTGAGTAGTGTGTGCGTCGCATTTGGCCAAGGAGAAAAAACCTTTACCATCACCAAAACTATGGAAAAATTAGTATTTCAGTCATAACCCTATTGTATAGATTGCAATTCGATCCTAAATATTTTAATTGTTCCAATATAGTCCTAAACTTTTGAGGAAAATTTCCATGTAGTCCTCCAAGCGAAGACTCGCTTGAAATTACTGATGTGGCGTTCCAGTCGTCGCTAACATGCCACGTGGAAAGAAAAAGAAAAAAAAGGAAAATTTAGTTAACTTGCGTCGTTTTGAGTGAAGTTGTCCACATCAGATTGTCAGCGTACTACATGTGATGGCCAGTGATGACTGCATAGCCACATTAGCAATTTTAGGCAAGTTTTCGCTTGGAGGATTACATTGAACTTCTCCTAAAAAGTTTAAGACTAAAATTGAACAATTGAAAGGGTTTAGGACTGGATTGAAATACATAGAATAGGTTTAGGACTGAAATAATAATTTTCCATCCCAAAGCTCATGTATGACCTATCTTTGTGCTGTGTAAGTAGGATGTGACCGGCATGTATGGCCGATGTGTTGTAACATGTGTGTTTAACAACGCATATTGTGTAGGAGTAAGCCCTAAGTATTGTCAAGCGCAAGTTTATACTTCGCCCAACAATTTAAACTTTTGAATTGGTTTTTCTATCATGGAACCGGAGTGAAGTTTCAATCTCAATACGGCATTTTGAGCTTCATCTCGCTTGTGGATATATTCTTACACATATATTTCCTATTCCTCAACTCCTCATGGTTTTTCTTTCGTGTGATTAGATATCATTCCAAGTTACAAGTGAAGATGAAGTTATTAATTTCCACTTTGAAATTTTGTGTGTATATGCAAAGACGTATAGCAGTTTTATTTACATGTGGTCTCTCTCCATGTATCAACTTTGTTTGCACTTCTCAGCACATTCTTGTTTTTTTTTTTTTGTTACAAAGAGAGCAGGATATAAATTTCCAGACTTCTCCAATGGAGGCACCCGCAAAGAACATCCTAAACGTAGAAAGATCTAGCCCCATCGCGGTCCTACCAGAATACGAAACGCCCAAGGGATCCATGTTCTTAAGTAGCCTCGATCAAATGGCTCCCGCAATTGTGCCAACCGTTTATTGTTTCGACAGGAGCGATGCAAATGTTGTAGACGTGATTAAGCAAGCTCTGGCCAGAGTTCTGGTTCATTACTATCCAGTTGCAGGGAGGTTAGCTAAAAACTCTCGAGGGAAGTTGGTTGTCGATTGCCAAAAGAAGTTAGGGGTCCCATTTGTGGAGGCAATGGCTGATTGTGACATCGAAAGTCTGGGTGATACGAGAATTTTCGATTCTGATGTTTTAGGTAAGCTTGTTTACAGAGATCCTACGGAACATATACTTGAAGTTGCCCCCCTTCTAACTGCACAGGTAAGGAACAATCTTTTTATTTTGTTTATGCTTGAGAGTGTTTTCTATTTGGTTTTTCCGATTTAGTTTTCTTTTAATGCTTTTTACTTGGTTTTTTCAATGAAACATGAGAGCGAATTTGTTTTGGTAGACTTAATTCACATAGGATTAGTAACTTTTCATATCGGAAAAACTCAATAGCAATGAGTAACTTTCTATTTATAATAAATAGGAACTTTCAAGTTGCTTTTGCAATAGGTAATTCCTTGGATGCATTTAGTAACTTTTCATCTGGTATGATAATTATCCGCATAAAGGTAACTAATTTTGTCACCATTTAATTGATGGAGAACTTGATTTATTTTGGCAAAGGAACAACTATCAAAGTGTTATTAGTAATTTTTCATTAATAAGCAATTCTTTCGAGTGTAATTAGTAAATTTAAATTTTGAAAAAGTAAATATCATCATTTCTAGTATGTTAAGTTATTTCTCCGGTTAATTAGTATCTCTCTCAATGACAAAAAAAAAAACTTCGAAGAGCCTCTCCATGTGTCTAAAAGTAATGAAGAATTAGCAACTTCTTCGGTAATAACTTTCTCAAAGCTTTAAATTAAAAAGTAACTTTCTTAATATTATGATAAACTTTCAATAATTAATACCCACTTATAAAGTATCCATGCAGATAGTAGCTTACCCATAAAAAAAGATGGAGAGGGTAACTTTTCCTAATTGGTAGAAACTTATATTGCTAAAGTCTCAATTGAGATTCATCAAATCCATTTATGGTGTATCAAGTCTAGGCAAATCTTTCCACAAATAGTCCTTGAACTTTGATCCCATGTACAATGTGGTCCCTAAACTTTAGCCCAATGTGCAATGTAGTCTTTGAATTTTTTGTACATGTTCAAACTAGTCCATGTATTATATGAAAATGTTTAATGTTATCCCTGAACTTCAATTATTGAAAGTTCTTGAACTTTCAAGTCTAGGCAAATCTTTCAACAAATAGTCCTTGAACTTTGATCCCATGTACAATGTGATCGTTGAACTTTCAATTTGTTCAATGTAATCCCTAAACTTTAGCCCAATGTGCAATGTAGTCCTTGAATTTTTTGTACATGTTCAAACTAATCCCTGTATTATATGAAAATGTTTAATGTTATCCCTAAACTTCAATTATTGAAGGACAATATCAAGTATTTTCATATAGTCTAGTGACTAGTTTGAATATATACCAAAAGTTCAGAGACCACATTGAACAAATTAAAAGTTCAGGGATCATATTGCACATTGGGCTAAAGTTTAGGAACCACATTAAACAAATTGAAAGTTGAAGGACCACATTACACATTGGACCAAAGTTCAAGGACCATTTATGTTATTTTCCCGAGATATTATGGCATAGGTCAAGAACATCCACCCTAAATCCATTTCCACCATTGAATCCGGTGGTTATAACCGAGTGTAAGACTTCAGACGGACATAAAGTGCATAAACTCAATCCGTGCAAGAACTTTTTCACATATTTACTTTTTCTGCATTTCATGTTGAGATATTATTAACTTTAGACACAATTCACAGGTGACGAAATTTAGATGTGGAGGTTTCACTTTGGGGATCGCACTTAGCCATTGCATGGCAGATGGTTTGTCGGCAATGAATTTTATGAACGCATGGGCTGAAATAGCAAGAGGCGAGCCTTTATCCCTCATTCCTTGTCATGATAGAACCATCCTAAAATCAAGGTTGCCTCCTCAAATCACCGGTCCTTACAACGAGTTTGTTCACATAAGTGATGTGTCAAACATGACGGCATTATATGAGGAAGAACAATTCGTACAAAAGTCTTTCCACTTTGATGCTGAGAAGCTGGCCATCATAAAAATAATGGCAACAGAAGACGGACAGGTAAATCTCTATATTTACGATAATGGATAGGTGGCAATTCATACACGTCTTTGTATAATATACAAGTCCATTCACAATTAGTTCCAAAAGAATTCCGAATACACCCAACACTATATCAAAATAAATTTCCGACTTACCTGTAAGCATTGAATGAATAGTTGTTCACAAAAAGTGGAATTTACTCATCTTGAACCACAGGTAGCGAGCAGTTACACCAGCTTCATAGCACTTGCAGCCTTCGTGTGGCGGGCTCGAAGTGTGGCCCTCAAAATGAAACTTCACCAACAATCAAAGCTTCTTTTAGCAGTCAATTTCAGGTCTAGGCTAACAACACCATTGCCCGATGGATACTTTGGTAATGCCGTGGCCTTGCCCTGCTGTCTCTGCACCATCGGAGAGTTGATTCAGGAGCCGATCTCTGCTTCCGCAGGGAGAATAAAGAAGGCGATCGAGTGCGTGACCGACGACTACATCTGGTCGAGGATTGACTATTTGGACATGTATCGATATGAGGGATTCGCTCTGGGCACGCTAGTAATAAGTTCATGGACGAGGCTCGAGTATTGCTACACGGACTTTGGATGGGGAGAGCCAAGGTTCGGGATGGGTGACCTACTAAGGGAAACCTGCTTGTTTATGACGGAAGGGAAAGAGAAAGGCATTACGGTGGTGTTGGGTTTGCCCTTTTCAGCCATGAATACCTTCGAGAAGCTTGTTTGTGGTCCTAACGACACTTAACGCTAATATTGGTATTTAAAATTAGGTTACAAAATGTGACCAACTACAAGTGGACCATCATATTCAACACCTGAATGGAATCCGCCATGTGACTTAATAATTCAATTTTAGGAGTTTAGTCTTGAATATCCATGATAATCAGTTGCCATTCCGTGTATATCTCATGACTTCTCATGTTTTTTTCGTTACCATTGTCCAAGACGAATTTAATAAAACATGATCTTTTCTGCTTATCGTGAAGCTTCAATTTCCTTTTCGTTGCAACCTTTTGAAGGAGCTATTCAGCCCCTTCATGGTACCGACATAGTTGGACGTAGGCTTCGATACTTCTCCTCTCTTTTGGAAATGAAAAAAAAATTAATTTGATTCAATGTTGAGCAAGAGAGAGCTTTTGAGAAAGCATTATAGAAAATTATCTAACTACTTTATTGACACTAATTGTCGAATGGAAGTTTATCAACATGGATAAACCCGCAGGATCATCTTAATGCTTATGCCATATTTGGGCTACTCGGTGTGGTATAGTCCGTGGGACGGAGGCAGCAAGGATGTAGGTTCATGCTCTATCTATATTTCGCCTTGGTATCGGCCCAAACAATTGTACAGGTATAATACAGATGACTGAGCTTGGCACCATATATATGTATTACTATATGGTAAAGGTGGGTTTTAACATGTACCCTGGCCAGCCTAGGCGAGGGCAACCATCGCTCGAGGCCGGCGGAGGCAAAAAGGGAAAAAGAAAAAAAAAAAGAGAAAAGGTAAAAAAGAAAAAAGTGAAGAAGGAAAAGAGAAAAAAATTATCAAAAAATTTGAAAAGTATTAAAATGTTATTAAAAATTGTCCACATCAACGCCGGCAGTACCACGTAGGACGGCCGGCATCCACGTCAATGATTTCCAACCAAAATTAGCTGGATGGACTCAATTGGCAAAATGTGAAAATGTTTAGGACTTAATTGGCATAATTAAAAGGTTTAAGACTGAATTATTTTTTTTTTTGGTCAGATAAGACTGAATTGTTAAAAGTGCAATAGATTTAGGACTTTTTGGACAATTTTTCCAAAGATTTTGTGAAGGATATAATGGGCATTCTAACATTATTTCGTGGTTCGGATTTGAGTCCGGATAAGATATTAAATTTATCCTATCAGGTATTTGGTGACGTTCTCTGGATCGGATAAATCCAGATACATTCGGATAAAATGCCGGATAAGAAATCTGGCCTAGGGGTGGGATAAACCCGGATTGAATATAAAATTTTAAAAATTAACTTAACAATTACCATGCACCAGGAAAACCTCACCTCAAGCAAAACTCACCATCCTTGGCATTTCCCACAGCGGCACCCACCACCGTCCACCGTGACAGTCCCTCACTCCAATGTCCTTGAGTATCCTCATTGGTGCCCTTGCTCGCAGCTCACTTGGAAGGCTGGGGCTCACCACCCCATACATGGCTCCCTCTCTTTCTCAGTCGATTTTCTAGCTTTTCCACCATCACTGAATCATCTCTCGGTTCCTCTCTCTACTTCACCTTTGATTATTCATTCTCGGCCTCCATTATTCCATGATTTCCCTCTTGGTCAACTCTGAGCTAAGCGTTCATCAAGTGTTTGATGAAACACAAGAGAGATCCTCATCGCCTTCAGTTCGGAATTTTGCTTAACAGAAGAGGTCATGCCTGTTGAAAGTCTTCAAGCTCCTGAGGCCGATTCACAGAGAGTGCTTGTTAACGATATAGGTTTAGAGGGTTTAAGTTGTCACTACATGAGGAGCCCGTTAGAGATGGAATATTAAAATATTTTCAAAGATTTTCAACAATAATGATTCAGAACGATTTTCAATTCTATCTTTGGTTGCAAATTTTCAAAGATTTCAAATCCTATTATTGGTTGCACCAAACATTTGATGGGATATTTCTGCAATCCGGAGGATATTTAGAGGATTTCTGTCACGCCCCGGACCCCACCGAGCCCACGACATCCCTCCGTGGTTGTATTTCGAATGCGACGTTCCAGGACTCGTCACCGACCCAAACGAAACTTCAAGCATAGAATGCACGCGGAAGCAATTATAATACCCAGACAAGATTAAGACAAATGGTAGTAGGAGAACACTTGAACAAATCAACCACGTACTTCATTCAACGGCACGTACTTACAAAATCCAACCTTACATACAAAAGGCCACAAGGGTTAAAGTCACTATCATAAAACAGGGACAAGTGGTCGGGTAGGATAGCTTAGCTATACAAAAAGGTCCACCAACTCCATGGGCTCCTCTTCGGGGTCTTACTCCATCGGCTCTTCCTTGGGATCTCAAAACGCTGTGACGGATCATTCATGGTCGGGGTCGGGGGTCTGAAATGGTTATATAATAACCATGAGAACGAGTCTCAATAAGCAGGCACCCTAAACCCCACCTAGGCTAACGCGTACCTCTAGACAAATAGAATAACACCCAACACATTTAATCAACATGTAATAACATTCAAAGGCACTCTCTAGCCTTACCTCGATGCATATATAACCCTGCACGTTAGTTGGATCGCAATAACATAACTAACTTCTCAATGCACATGCACTTCAAGATACAACTAAGTTCCTACACATGCATCCAAAATAACATTCAAACCTATTCCAATCTCAATCTATACACATACTCACATCTTTCAACATCCGACACACACATGTATCCACCCCGATCAATACCGACCCGCGTAACATGCCTCAGGCCCACCTCATCGTACGACTCGCGTAACACGCATCAAGTCTACGGCACGACTCGCGTAAAGACGCATCAAGTCGACGGTCCTCTAGTTTATCTAGGCATTGTCTCGCGTAACATGTCACGCCCCGAACCCCAACGAGCTCGTGACATCCCCTGCTCCGATCGAAATGATGCGACGTCCCAGGAACGTCGCCAACCCAACCCAAACATCAGAGCCACATGCGGAAGCGAATAACAAAACCCCGGACAAATAATGACGACAACGGGGTAGAACAATAGAACAATCCAGCAACCACATATTCATATAATACCAAATATACAAACATCATATTACAGACATAAATACAGACTAACATCCTCAGTCACCGTTTAAACAAAAGTTCAGGGGTTTAGTTATCTTAACTTCACTATCGAATAACCCAAGTTATACAACCCCTAAAACACCCTAGGGAAAAACTTAAGGGTCGCCCTCTTCCATTCTGCTTCTGAATTTCTGGCTTGAATCTCTGGAACTCACCTGCAGCTCCACTAGGCACCAACAGCAGCTCCCCGGACTTCCAAAAAGAAAAGGCGCACTTCCCGGGTTTAGGGCCGGGGGTCTGAAAGTGGCGGTTATACAATCGTGAGACGAATCTCAATAAGTGTACAACCCCAAACCCCACGTAGGCACTCACGTACCGCCAGACGAAAACACACATAACACACAACGATCGGCCAAACTAACAATCACATGCGACCCTACCCGGAATCCATCACGCACGTTCCCGCACGTTAGACAATAACACGCCCAACACATCACAAAGAAGGAATCACAGTACACGCGCGTGCCTTAATTATAAGACAGAAATCACTTGGGCACGTCCCATACCGTGCCTAGCAGTTTCTACCCCATAATTAAGCATCACATCACGCGATACAAACACACTCGCACACTAACTCACACCATGCGTCACTTTCCACAATCCTCTCGCTTGTCTTGCCAAATCCCACTCATTTTCTACCTTTCCACCACTACCGCGCCCGCGTAAAACGCATCAGGCCAACGGTCTTCTGACCTCATCAGGCATCGTCATCCCGTCGGGCCGAGCATCGTCACCTCGTCAGGGACGGCATCGTCCCGCGTAAACGTACACGCCTCAGGACGGAATCCTACACACACTTTCCTTCTACCGCGCCCGCGTAAAACGCATCAGGCCAACGGTCTTCTGACCACGTCAGGCATCGACACCCCGTCGGGCCGGGCATCGTCACCTTGTCAGGGACGACATCGTCTCGCGTAAACGTACACGCCTCAGGACGGATCCTTTCCAACCAATCCTACATTTCCGTACCCTCGTTCCACTCAAACCACACTTACACATGGCCAGCAACACTCATGGTCATACACAACCTCACGCCTTACACACAATCCACCACGTATGGTCAAACATACACACCTCACACACATTTCACGATTACTCATTCTCGTCACACGAACACGCACACATAACCACACACTCTTGGTACACAAATTCATTGCACAATCACACTCCCATACTCACACACCTCACGGCCACACACACGAGGCACACGGCCAAGCCACATTCAGTCCGAAACACACACCAAACCAGCCAACCATCACGAGCCACACAACCACATACAAAGTGCCATTCAAGGCATAATTCTACCAATCAATCGCACAATTCAGTCACAATCAATCCACAACACCTCAGCCATCATCGAGCCTCCTAAACCTCGCAAATTTCCTTGCCAACTCAGTCTCCGATTTAGCCCACAACAACCACACAATCAGCCTTCAATTTAGTCCTAAAATAGCCACATAAACTACCCGAACTAAACCCTAAACATGCCCTACGATACCCGAACTCCTAAATGACATTGGGGAAAACACTTACCTAAGAGAAACAAGGCAGCTCGGCCGGACAGGGCGAAAACAAGTGGGCCACAAGACGCAGCATGCATCGCGGCGTACGGACACGCGACGTACGGACGCCCGTACGGACAACCGTACGGACACTGCACGGATCCGTACGAACCCATACGGACACCGACGTACGGCGACGTACGGCGAGGCTGGACGTCGTGGCGGCAGCGGCTCGGTCGTTCAAGCTCCGGTGCGGCGGCGGCGAGCTCCGGCGTCCTTTGCCGAGAGAGAAAAACCAAGAGGGAGAGGGAGAGAACGTGGGAGAGGAGAGAGAGTGATCTGGTGAGAAATGAGAGGAGAGAGAGAGAGCTGGTCAGATATAGTGGGCTGTGGGGTGACACGTGTCGCGATCCTACGCGATTTTCAATTTTGCCCTTGATCCAACGGCCCTCATTCGTTCCAATCCAATAATGCAAGGGTAAAAGTGTCCAAGGTCCAATAATGCAGCTGAAAAACCATTAATAATAATCCCAAATAATTACCCAAAATTCGGAACTGAAACGGGCCCAGGGGCAAAATTGTCATTTTTCCGGTCCCGGGGCGAAATTCCAATTTTCGCACATACGCGTTCC